TGATAAAAATCGATTATTTTTTACATATTTTAATGGAGAAAATAATCGATTTTTATCAATACCATAAATATTTGTTAATAAATCATAAGCCATTGTACATGCTTGACGTTTAAAATATGTATTATTAAATGACCAATTTCCAAGCATTTCAAAAAATGTATGATGATATGTATCATGACCAACATCAGATAAATCATTATGTTTTCCACCAACACGTATACATTTTTGATAATTAACAACACATTGTTGTATAATTTTATCTTGTTGTGAAAGAAATATATTGTTGAATTGATTCATTCCACTGTTTACAAAATATGTTCCAGAATCTTTTGGTGGAATAACTGATGATGATGGAATAACTACATGAGAAATTTGAGAATGTTTTGTAAAATAATCGATAAATGTTTGACGAACACGTGATGATGACCATTTTAATTGATGATTTGTTGAATAATAACGAACACAATGAATAAATCGATATGATGAATTAATAAATAACCTATAAATAATTCATAGATTTTAAATTTCTTATTTTTATTAAAAATTAACGCTTTCAAATCATACATATAGTGATGTAACCAGTAGTTTTTCGTTCTTCTGATAGTAGGACGGCGTCCGGTCTAGCCCATCATTAGTTACACTACTAACAGCGTATCGTTATTACTTTGTGGGGTGTTCATACAGAGATCTTTTATCGAACTTTCTATACTAATAAAATTTGAAAATATATACAACGATTTTTGTTCACAAAATTTAATCTCTATCAAATATTAAGAGGTTGATAATAGTAGTTTATCATATCATAACATATATTGAATAGTAGATATTCATAGACTTTGGCTGAATTTTAAGAAAACAAAATTTGAATATGAAAATTCATAATCAGAATTTATCATCTCAATAGATCGAATTTTTTTAGTTATCAACAATAAGAAAATAACAATCTTAAAGTAATAGCACTTATTACCTATTTAAAATTAATATATGAAATAAACTTGCCGAATATTTTCGAAGGTTACATTATACAAACATTAATATATATATATATATGTATAAGGTAAATTTTTAGGGAAAACAATTGTACATATTACTATATTGGAACTCCGGTCGGGGTCATATGAGTAAAAAAGTTAGATTTCAATATATATATAAAGCTAATTTCATAATTATTGTGAAATCAACATGAAAAAAAAAATAACTTACACTCACATTGAACAGGTTCAAGATGACGTCCGCAAAAAAAACTAAATTAAACTATCTAAAATTAATAAATAACAAACATCGATATTAATTCATCTATCATATTGCATGTTTTCTTTTGTTAGTACTTCTATGGAATATACATAATTTTCATCTACACAGTGCTTTTTCTGCGCAATACACAACGTGCATGTGTATGAAAGTAACAACACATATCGAGTAGAAATGTCCCTACTGCATATAAATTAAATACTATAAAAAAATTCAACCATTCTCATCCTATGGATATTATTCATTGACTTCCAAAGTTTCTCTTATGGACACGATACTATGAAATCTAGACTTTTTATACTATTCGACAAACCCTTAACAACACATTTTATAAAATTAATAGATGTCGCTAACTCTCGATCTCTTACCTTTAGCAAATATTCAAAATAACACTTTTTTTTTTCCTTACTTTTTAAAGCCTTCTCTCGTTAAATCAATATTATCATAATAGATAATCAAAGTTGTTTTTTTCAGTTTTGCTTTTTATCTCCGAAAAAAAAGACCACACAAACATAGAGATGAGAGAAACGCACATAACAAAAAAAGAAAAGAACGAAAAAAAACACCAGAAAAGCGAGAGAACTTGAAGAGAGATATAAACAATGGCTTAGGTTTTTTTTGTCTTGTCATATACATAGAACGACTATGATGAATGAACAAGTAGCAATTAATAAAGAAAAGAAAAACATTTTATAATCTTTTAGTCTTTTTTATGTTTTTATCTCTGTCTGTTCACAACGCCAAGCGTACACAACAAGAAAAAAAAAAAGAAATCACGCAAAAAAGAGAAAGAAAAAGAACAACATCAAACGCAATGACAAATTTAAAAAGTACAATGAGACTAAATGTTCCATGCTCAACTCATCTGTGAGAAAGAGAGAGAGACCGTTTCGGTTTGGTTTTTTCTAATAATATCCAACAGTTAATAAATCAAAAAAAAATTCTGTCTAGAGTAGGAAGAATGAATATATAAAAAAAAAACAATCAAACAAATAAACGGAAAAATAATATGAGAACAACGCACATAACCAGAATATTGTGTTTTTTTTTTTCGCTGATGATAATATAGAAATACACATAAACATATATAGACATATAATCAAATAAACATCAACTCTATACAAGATAAACAAAATGAGAAAGAATATATAAACGACTAGGGTTTAACAATGGCAGCTTGTTGTTGTTGTTGAGTACCTATTGGAGCATTTGGAATATGAGGAAAACCACGTGTAAGTGTTGTTAATAAACTAGAAAATAGAAGACAAAAAAAAACACTAAATATTTTTTTTGAGCATCATTGAAAAATTCGATAATAGTTATTCGAAATCCTAACTAATGACTAGAGTCCGTCGGATCCAAAATTTTTCAACCCGAATTTGAGTCATACGCCTTATGTAGTTTGATGAGTAGAGCTTATCGGGTTGATTCTGAACTTGACGGGCCCTACTGACGTGAATCTTCAAGCCACTGCTCGGAACATGCAAGATACTTGTTATCGATTATTGGTATATTAATACTAACACATTGTACATATTTCTGTGACACTCTTAATGATGATCTTATTAATAATCTAATTAGAACTGAGTGTGAAATTTAGAATATGATTTGTTCAAATCTAGAACTAATCCGACGGATTCTACCAACTCCATCTTTAGCATAAGATCTGCTTTTGATTTTTTTTATCATCCTCAGTGTTTTCGAAGATCATAATGTTCTTCAAAAAAAAAAAAATTTGGGAAAAACTTATAATTTCAATCCTAATAGTAAGACTGAATAGAATACCTAGTGTAAAGAACTAATTGAAAGTAAGAATGGACTGTTCGAGATTATAACTTTTCCCTAGTAGAATTAAAATATTAAATTCTTAATTAACAGTAAAATAGAATATAATTTCAAAAAAAAATGAAACAAACCGTTTAACATCTGGTGAAATACTCATAAATTCTCGTGACCATAATTTTAAATTAGGATTTCGTACAAGTTCGAGAAATGTTATTAATAAACCCCATGGATGTGGACGATTAGCAACAAGTCTTTCAAGTAAAACTCTAGAAGAAGAAGAAAACAAAAATAAATTAAAATCTTCATTTAAAAAAACAAAAAAGAAAATAATTCATTAACAACACATACCGAACAATTTGTTCTTGTAAAGCTTCTGAATTAGCTTCAGCAAATAAATATAAAAGTGTATAACTAAAATAATGTGTATGCGTATTTGGATATCTTAAATGATTTGCCATTGCATTTAAAAATATATAACGTCCTTCAGTATCTAAATCAACAGCTAAATTTTGAAATATATCCATATGTGCTGAATGTGTTATTGATGACATTAATGGTTGACCATTTGTTTTATTATTTAATGTTGATAATGCTTGTGTTGCAACATATAAAACAAGTGCATTTAACATTCTTATATTATAATGTGAACCAGGATCAGCACCTTGTTGTAAATATGAACGTAATTCAGATAAAAATGTAACTGGTGCACGTGTACGTAAATATGAATCAAGATTTTGTTTAAATTTAGGTGGTTGAATATTTTGAGAAAAATTATAAGCTATCACCGGTACAATTGATATATCATTAAGCATATCAACTTTAAAATTAACCAAAAATGGATCTGGACAACGCATATGTTTTGGAAATGCTGATAAAACAATATTACGTAATTGATGTGCTATTAATGGTAATGCATCACAAAATTGATAATAATGTTCACATAAAAATTCTGGAAAATCATGTAATAATAACATAAATGTTTTTAATATACCTTTAAAATAAACTTGAAATGATTGTGCATGTTCACCCGAACGTATAAATGGTGTTACTAAACGTAAAGCATCAACAAGTAATAATGCATACATATTATGTGTTTGACGTGTAAAACGACCAGCTGATAAAAGTAAACGTGACATAAATGTTCGATGTGCAACTATTTCAAGCCATGCAAATGCAAAACCAGGTACACGTTGTGGACGTAAAAGATGTAAACAATTTGTAAATGCCAAATAAATATAATACATTACATATTCATTTGCTGATGATACATCAACACCTGGTGTTGTACTATTTAGAATAAAAAATTTTATTATATCAAAGTTTTGAAAACAAAAATGTTTAGAATATTCATTCGGCGGCGTTTAACGGGAATATGATGATGAACAAAGTTAAAAATTTTCTAATGTAAAGTGGACCGCAAAAATTTAAGATACTTTTATTTTTGAAGTTTTT